TCTCTCTGTTTTGTAGTCAGATAGAATTTTGTTTGTCAAGTTTAATGCTAAACCTATGGTAATAATACAGGTTTATACACCAAAAAATGATATGTTTAATGAATGTCTGATTATAATGGGTGATTTCAACGCAAAATTTAAGAAAGGGAAGTAGCACCAGAAATAGGACCACATGGGGTGGGTAATAGAAATGAGAGAGAAGATATATTAATTGACTTTTCTAAGGGAAACAAGATGACAAATGCAAATACCTAGTTAGAACAACACCCTAGGCATCTCTATACATGGGTTTGACCAAGAAAATGTAAACAACATAGTCAGGACTCAAATAAATTACATTTTAATTCAGGAAAGATTCAGAAATTCAATAACCCGAACCAAGATTGTGGGCCTGATCACGTCCCAGTGAGGCTAAGACTTCAGAAATTTATAAGAAACATATGGACAAAATCAGATGGGATTTAGGTAAACTCAAAATAGGGGCATGGATGGCATATGAAACTGAATCTGAAAATAGATTTTCAGTATTGCTATAGGGTGACTTTGAATAACAACATTAAAATAGATACAATGAAGTAATGTTAGGGACTGAGGAAATACTTATGGGACCTAGGAGGAACGAAGATAAATGTCGGTGGATAACAAAATTTAAAAAAATGGATAGATGAAGAAATGTGAGAAAACGAAGTGAGGCTTATATATAAATTAACAAAGAAATTTAAAGGGAATTGTTTCGAACCACGCCATCTATTGTCATGATCTACCTACCCAGCACCACGAGCAACGCCATCTAGGGACGAAACCCGAGTATGACTAGTCTTAGTCACCACTCCGGGTTTCCCTTCTCTATATCCTGGTTGTTGCGTCACCTCCTCCAAGTCTTCCTCATCCGCTCCGGATCGAGGAGAGTTCAGTTCACTCTGGGAAGTGACCACACTAGGATCACCAATCCTGGAAACCTACGGCACAGTGACTACCTACCATCTTCTTCAATACTCAGCCTTACTCGTCAGATACCTCAGCACCTCACTTGAGTATTTTATGTTACCTCCCACCTCCACTTGCTTCAGATTGTTGTATGTTGTATAAATATGTATATACTGTTAATGTTTAGGTTAAGTAAGGTTAAGGGTAAATTATAGAAAGCTGAATATTTTGTTAAGGAATTTATGGTACTTTATTATACACAACAAAAACTCGCATCCTTTGTCTACCCTTTTATAGTCCGATTGTCTTTGTTTATTTAAGTTTTTTTTATTGTTGTTGCTTGTTGGGATCTGGGTAGACTTTTAACTATATTCTAAATCCCCAACTCGTAACAGAATGCATTCAGGTAAAGGAAGATGATCTAGAAAGGAAATGCAAGGAGATTGAAGATGACGACAAAATGCATAATTACAGAATGTACAGAAAGCTTAAACAAATGATCCATAAAAAGGGAAATACACGGAGTTTAACTATTAAAAGCAAAGACAATAAGGTCCTAGTTGAGGCAGAATAAATAAAAGAGAGATGAGCAGAGTACGTAGAAAAACTATGCAATGGTAATCATAGGGTAGAGGTATGAAACGAAAAGGAAGTAAAGATCGAAATGTTGTCAATTTTGGAAACAGAAATTGAAGCAGCTCTGAGCAAAATGCAAAATGATAAAGCTTGTGGGATTAATCAGCTTCCAGCAGAATTTTTAAAACAAATAGGCAAGACTGGAATGAAATATTTGACTAAAATATGTAGTATTGCATACTTCCAATGAGACCTTCCCACTAATTAAAAAAATAATCAACATTTGCATTATTACCTTAAAAGCGAGGAGCCTTACAGTTCACCCAATTTAAAAAAGTAAGCTTAATCAGTCATGCTTGTAAAGGAGCAATATGGATTTAGAAAGGGAAAAGCAACTGGAGAAGTTTGGGTAAAAGGGGTTTAGAGGTTGTTTTAGAAAAAAATACAGGGTATGGCACAAGTCTTTGCTTTCTAAAATTCCCTCTTATGGTTTCTCTCCCCCACTTTGTTTTCTAATCTCTAGCTTCCTTGAGAACCGATCCATGGCAGTTGTTGTCGAGGAATCGATCTCTCGCTCTTTTTCTACCAGTAGTGGTGTCCCACAGGGTTGTTCTTTCACCTACTCTCTTCCTTCCTTTTATCAATGATTTACTTCACACTACAACTAATTCTATCCATTCTTACGCTGATGGTTCTACTCTTCACTCTTCACATTTTCCCCTTCCTCGTAACTCTCTAACTAGATCTGTTTCTAGAGCTGATATCATTACTTCTATCAATGCGGATCTGTGCAGCATCTCCGAATGGGGAGGTAGAAACTTTGTTAAATTCAATAGTAATTAAAATCAGTATTTGCCAATTTCTAAATTAGATAATCTCCAACCAATCACATTTCAGAATGCAATCATTCTACCAAATTCTAAAATAGATATGCTAGGCTTCACCACTCCTTATTATTTTCCAACTCTACTGAATTATCTCTCTGGGCACAACATCCTCTTTACCAAATATATCACCTACTACCAAATCATCATCAAACTCTTCTCTTCTCTTTGACATTGCCCTGGTCACAACACAAGCTGGGTACACAATATCATTATACTCTACTGTACATCACCATCAGGTTTACACTTCTTTCAGTCACCCACTACATTTTCATTTTTCACAACATGGTTCACCTCTACAGTAGCCTCTTCATCAAATGGATGTTTCACATACTAGGCTCTGGGACTACCTTGTCGCTAGCCAAATCATTACCCAATAACATTTATACTGCAGGTACGGGAAGTTCAACACTTATCCCAACTTTTACAGTGCCACTCACAAATCTACTCTCAAGATTCACATTATCTAATGGGACAGTTATCCCTGACACTAACCCTCTTGAATTTACTACTTCACCAGAGTAAGACTCCTCTGTCCAGTCTAATACATTAATCAAAATCAAACTCTGACTCGCTCCAGTATTTCTCAATATTATATTTTTCTTCGCAGGACTACCTTTAATCTCAACCTATCCTTCAGTAATATATGGCTCAAAATTCACAGATTTTGACTTACTCACACTGTACTCGTTACCTCTTACATTACAAATATTCAATGGCTTTCCCCAAGCAACAGTTATTCCCGCAGACTTTGGGACACTCTGACACTGATAAGGCCAATTTCTCCACATGCAAAACATTTAATTGGTGGTGTCTCCTGTCTACTAACATAAGGGTTATAATTGGACTGAGGTCTTTTTGATGTTTATATTGTGTTTTTCCTTGTGATCTATTCCCTACAGTATTTTGTTTAACATTTGAATAGTTCTGATACTTATAATTTCTGTAATAATTCTGGCTTCTATTATGCCTTACTCCACCTTGTTTATGTGACACCTCCTCCTTATACATTTTGTGTGCCACTACTAACGTGTCAGCCAACCTAGCCGCATTCATCAAATTCTTCACTCTATTCTTACTTATTTCATACTTAATCTCAGGGTGCACAAGACTTTTAAAATGTTCCAACAGGATTAAAGGACTTATGCCATCCACAGTCTTTACTTCCTCAGACTTACACCATTTATCAAATCTCTTCCCACATTCTCTAGCCACTTCAAGATGAGTTTGTCCACTAAATTTCTTAATGTCCCTAAACTTTCTCCGGTATACTTCTGGATCCATTTCCACCGTCTTCAACACTGCTTTTTTAACAGCCTCATAATCCGCAGACTCTGACATACTCAGACACGCATACGCCTCTCTGGCCTTACCCTTAAATTTACTCTGCACCAATATTGCCTTGTCACTTTTGTCCTATTCTTTAATAGTTGTAACTTTTTCAAACTGAATAAAGCATTCCTCAGCTTCTTCTTCCACAAACTCAGGTCAATGACATATTCTATTTTCTTTATCTCAATTTCCTCTCCTTGTACCTGTCCTTTCCTCTACTTCTAATTTCCCAAGTTTTACCTCTTTATCTGCCTGAAACCTCTTTCTACCTCTAATTGCATTTTCTTAAATTCTAATTCTAATTTTAACTTCTCCTTTGCCACTTGTTCACTTATCTGCTTTTCACCACCACTTAAATTACCAACACCACTTTCAACTTTCTCCAACATTGACAAACACACCAAGTCATCAATTAACTCTCTCTACATATCACTTTTGATATATGACCTCATAGAAATTTCATACGTAGATGCCACCTCACGTAGTTCCTCCTTACTAAATTGGTACAAAAAGTGTACATCCTGGGCTCCCGAAATTTCTCAGCTTTTCCTGCCATGTTTCCAAATTTCTACAGTCATCACTTAACCTCACAATTTTTATACAAGTATTAACACTTACTTGTTTACAGAAATCTTCACCAGCACACCACACGAGAGCACAGTAACTAACCCTCAAACACGTTGATACAGCTTGGTTACACTGGGACAATCAGTACACTTGAGTCAATCCAATCTCGGACACAGGCCCCCATGTTACACCTCACACCCTTGGCGACCGTGACAGGATTCAAAATTAATGGTAAATTAATATGAAATGTACCCTATGCAGATGATACTGCTCTTATCACAGGCAGTTAAAAGACATTAAAAAACTCGTTAACAGTTAAGTAAAAAAGGGGGAAAAATATTGTTTAAGAGTTAATGCTGTAGATACTAAAGTAGTGGTTGTTTCCAAATTAGAAATAAATACAAATAAAAATTATGGTAATCAATAGGAAAATTAAACTAGTGCCAGCTGTGTGCAGACTCACATTGCTTAAGAATAAGACGAATGTGCTGGTTTTGTGAGAAATAAAACAAAGCCTATGATTGTGTTTGTTCCCGTTGTGGTGCCTTGGTAGTGATCGCTGTACATACACAGAGGTCCCGGGTTCGATTCAAGTCTAGTGAGGTATTGTTTGTATACTGGTGTCCGTGTACAGTATATATGGACTGTTGACATACTGTAAATATAAATATATATTTATATAAGTATTATAATATAGTATTAGATGTGGTACAGATATGGTTGCTGGTGCTACTTAGCTTCCTGGTCGTCTTCGTCACCACCTTTATCATCCTGTGGGGCCACGACCTTCTTCACCAGTGTCCAAGGTGGGTCCTGTCTACCTGTGTCCTAGGTAGGTCTTGTCTACCTATGTCTCAGGTGGTTCCTGTCAACCTATGTCCCGAGTGGGTCCTGTCTAAATGTGTTCCAGGTGGATCCTGTTTACCTGTGTCCCAGGTGAGTCCTGTCTACCCGTCTCCCAGGCAGTCTTGTCCACTTGTGTCCCAAATAGGTCTTGTCCACTTGTGTCCCAGGTGGGTCCTGTTTACCTCTGTCCCTGGTGGGTCCTGTGTACCTGTGTCCCAGGTGGGTTCTGTCTGCTTGTTTCCCAGTGGGTCCTGTCTACCTGTTTCCCAGTGGGTCCTGTCTACCTGTGTTCCATGTGGGTCTTGTCTACCTGTTTCCCGGTGGGGTCCTGTCTACCTGTTTCCCAGTGGGTCCTGTCTACCTGTTTCCCAGAGGGTCCTGTCTACCTGTTTCCCAGTGGGTCCTGTCTACCTGTGTTACAGGTGGTTCCTGTCTACCTGTTTCCCAGTGGGTCCTGTTTACCAGTGTCCCAGGTGGGTCCGGTCTACCTGTTTCCCAGTGGGTCCTGTCTACCTGTTTCCCAGTGGGTCCTGTCTACCTGTGTTCCAGATGGGTCCTGTCTACCTGTGTCTCAGAAGGACCTTGTTACTCATACCCAGTTGGATCTTGTTTCCCAATGTCTGTCTTGGATGATATATCGCATGTCTAAGAAGCTGTTGTTTTGTGCTGTTACAAGTTAGTGTTGCTCTCCAGTGAGCAGCTGAGTAATACATCACTCTTATATGGCTGCATCAACTATCTTAAGATGAGAGTAAAATAATTTTGTTTTAAGCTCCTGAAATTATCTTTTTCGAGCTGAGAATCTTTTACGTGTATCATGTAAATTTGTTCCCACTTATCGATTAAATTTTCTTCATGCCACTCTAACCCGAAAGGCCCAAACAGACCACATTCACGACCTTCTCCGGGTCATCACACGATACCCACCACCCAGATAGCTTAGAAAGTATCCTCTCCCAGCAAGTTCGGGGGGCGCGCCACTCCGAAACTGACCACGTCCAAGAGTGGGGGTTGGTGGTAAGCGTCCACTGATCGGGGGTACGCTCACACTTGCAACCTGCAGTATCCTTCCAAATCTGCAGGTGGGACCACCTCCAATCCCAATCCGATCTGGCTGCTCCTGGAGCTCCAGCCGGAACCACCAAACGGGCCGCCTATAGGCAAAGGCCCGTGTCGGACTACGGCCCGACAATCTCAACAACAACAACAGATGCTCTGGGCTCAATTCTCAGCTGCAAGTTGAGCTGGAGTTAAAGCCTCGAGCAGAGACAGACTTTCTGCCTTTGTTTCCCGACAAATCGAGAGACCCTCCCATGACCAAGCACATAATGAACTTGGTAAAAAAAAAAAAAAAATTCTCATTCCTAGACAGATCCCTGTTATCAGTATGGTCAGCCACTCGTTGCCTTTGGTGTCATACAAGGCTCTAAGTCAAAGAATTAAAAATATAACTTTCCAAGATGGTCGTCGGTGGTCCGGGAAATGATCTTGACCCTCACCCTGCTAACCTAACCTAACCTAACCTAACCTAACCTAAGATGTCCAACAACTCTGGTAACACACCATTCAGATACCCAGATCATCAAGATGTGTCCAATATCAAGGTTATGGTCAAAGATGACCTTGACCTTGAATCATAAAAGTATTGCCATAATTGGATTCTTTGTGCTCATAAACCCCCCAAAAGAGGCAATACTTATAACATTACCATTTGGATTTGTCCAATATGGTTGCCAGGGTAATATTTCGGTTTGGCTCTCGTGAAAAAATGAAAGGTCTTAGTTACAGGAATCTGTGTTCAAATTTTCAGAAGTGAAGAGAAAAGCGAACGATTTTTTTTATTTTGCCCCCCTACTACTGGGACTCCGGTTACCTTGTGTACTAACACTGTGACTAGGCAGACCAACTGCTCGAACGGCTAGTAAGCTGATAAGTAGTGAAATAATATGTAACACACACACACACACACACACATTTATGAAAAAGTGATAGAAGTGATTATATGACGTAAATATACCGTAAATAAACTCCCCACAGTAGTGATGGTTGCGAGTCGCCGAGTGGATGGATTAGCAGCCTGAGCAAGTCTTCCAACTGGACCTGGTGTGTCCTGCTGGCCCAGTGTGAGTACATTTGTGGACCTGGTGTGTCATGCTGGCCCCGTGTGAGTACATCTGTGAATCTGATGTATCCTACTGTCTCACTGTAAGTACACCCATAGACCTGGTGTGTTCTGCTGGCCCAGTGTGAGTACACCTGTGGACCTGGTGTGTCCTACTGGGACAGTGTAAGTACACCTGTGGACCTGGTGTGTCCTACTGACACAGTGTAAGTGCACCTGTGGACCTGGTGTGTCCTACTGCCATAGTGTAAGTACACCTGTGGACCTGGTGTGTCCTACTGGCACAGTGTAAGTACACCTGTGGACCTGGTGTGTAGCAGTTTAGTGACATATTTACACTTGCAGTGATGGGGTTTACACTTCTAGTGATAGATGTAATATGTGTAGTGTTATTTAGTTACGCTTCTAGCTTCCCATTTGTTAGGGTAGTTGAAGTGTTACCATGTTTCATGAATAAAATCAGATGAAGTTCTACCAGCCTGGAGTTTACATAATTTTCCCCCGTAACTAGTTGTAGCTGTGTCTAACTAAACAACTTATGAGTGTTGCCAGGAAGAATCCCGTATACACGACAGGTGTAACTCTTGCAGTGATAATTTTACACTTACAGTGATAGGTGTTACACTTGTGTTGAAAGGTGTTCCACTTGTGTTGATCGGTTTTACACTTACAGTGGTAGGTGTTTTATTTGTGTTGAAAGGTGTTCCACTTGTGTTAATAGGTTTTACAATTACAGTGATAGGTGTTACACTTGTGTTGAAAGGTGTTCCCCTTATGTTGATAGGTGTTACACTTGTGTTGAAAGGTGTTCCCCTTATGTTGATAGGTGTTACACTTGTAGTGGTAGGTGTTACACTTGTAGTGATAGGAATTACACTTGTAGTGATAGGAATTACACTTGTAGTGATAGGTGTTACACGTGTAGTGATAGGTAATACACGTATAGTGCTAGCTGTACACTTGTAGTGATAGGTGTAACTCGTCTAGTGATAATTTTGAAATTGCAGTGATAGGTGTTACACTTGTAGTGATAGGTGTTACACATGTAGTGATAGGTGTTACACTTGCAGTGATAGGTGCTACACTTGCAGTGATAGGTGTTACATTTGTAACAATAGGTGTTACACTTATACTGATAGATGTTACACTTGAACTGATAGGCGTTACACTTGTAGTGATAGGAATTATACTTGCAGTGATAGGTGTTACACTTGCAGTGATACGTGTTACACTTGTGATAGATGTTACACTTGCAGTGATAGGTGTTACAATTGTGTTGATAGGTGTAACAATTGTAGTGACAGGTATAACATTTCAAATCTCTTATATGTATACAGTAAGTACATTTAACTCAAAGAATTCCTATACCGCTTGTGGTGATGTTTACGTAAATGCGGCAGCGTAGCAATGCAAAATTTACGATTGAATGACTGCTAGTCCTGAAAAGATGGATCTGATTGGTGGAAAATTCGCATGCTGGACGTTAGGAGACTGGGAATGGGAGGTTTACTTCACTGCCATACTATTGTGTTAAATAAGTAATCCTTCACAATTCTATTGCGTTAGTAATTTATATCTACGTGACAATATATTATATAATAGTTTTGATTGTACAGTAAAATTAAGAGATACAAAAATATTAATATGTAAACAAAATAATTTTTTAAAGAAATGATTTAAAAGACAGATGGGGGTAAGATGTTCCATACCTTCATACCATGATATTTTATGGAGGTCTCGGACTGAAAAGAGCACATGGGGGGTGGCCTTAGTAGGTCTGGGTATCTCAAGATGTACCTTTGGTCATTCCAGAACTGGAAATAATTACTGTATTCTCAGTAATAACTGATTTATAAAAAAAAAGCTCATCATTAACTTTTAGTATCTACAGTTCTTTTTTCAAGTAGGTCTTTGTTCGCACAATTCTCTTCTGGGCAGTGACAAGTGGTTATATTGGAAGCCAGAGGCCCCCATTGTATATCATTGCTGCAAAATTGAGTGACTCCTGAGTGTGATACAGGATACTGCACTGTTTATTGATTTTATCGTAAACACAGCTTGTATGTAGTTTCTCCAGCTTAGTTTATCATCAACATCAACCCCAAGGATTTAGTATTTTTTTTTATTAGTAGGGACTGTATTACCAAGGTATAGGGGGTTTTCCTCTTGTGAAAGACTAGTGTCCCTGTGTGAAGAAGTTTCCTGGTGTATGATAATCAAGAAGAATTAAAAGCAATTTTCTCATATAAGTGTTATTTTTAAAGTCTTATAACTTATATTGGCATTCGTCCTTATTAGTAACATGTATGTGTGTATTGTTTTCATTGAGTTTATATTCCAACACATATTTATCATTAATTTGCCAAGGGAAATTACTTCTAGGAATCGTTTCCGCCAATCAGCTCCGTCGTTACAAGACTGCAGTTGTTTACATAACTGTAACACACTGTACAGAAAGAACCACTGTACACATGTGCAACCAGTCAGGCCGTGACACATGTACCATCAAAGGTACACGAATGCTATCCTTATAATTTACCTGACACGTAGCAAGCACTAGATGTATCATGACATGTACAGTCCCGACCAAAAAGTTTTGCCAAGCAGATTTGACTAACCCGGTTATGTGGCACCGTCGGAGACACGCACGCACACACACGGCGTGTGCCAGATACCCCGATTATGTAAACAATCCATTTTATGGCGTCTCTATGTGCATATCCTCCATGAACTACACAATTTATCGATGATCAATGGTAAAATGATAGTGTATTTTATACTGTATTACATTTAATATGCAGTAATATTATCAGTGATATTGGTCACTGTCAGTCAATGCTAAAACACAATGCCTCGATCACTCACTCATTTCTACCTCACCATATGTACTTTCGTGTTTTAATGTAATTACTTGTATCCATGTAAAACAACCGATGTTGCTGTGCATAAAGAAAGGACATGAAATGTTTGCACTGAACTCTTACTGTTTCATGTCATATTACATAAGTATGATAATTGGTGTATAAAACGTTATATCTTAGGAGAATTAAATTACTTATATGTTACAAACATACTTTTATTAAAACAGAAAATGAACGCACACTATGTATGCTAGACACCTGAATTATGGGAACAATCCATTTTAGAGCATGTCCGTGTGTTCCTCCACTTTGAACTACACCACTTATCAGTGATAATATTGCTCTTATGTGAGTGCCGGTAGGACAGAAATTACTTAAAACATTCATAGTAGAGAGGTTCATAATGGAGACTGTTGGTGGTGGGCATATTATCCCTGTCCTATAGCTTTTATTGATGATATTAATGACTCCAGTCTCATTGCTCCTGAGAGTATATTGTAATACGCAAACGATGATTCTAGGGACAATTAATGCCATTCACCACAACCTTTAACTTATCAGAAGCTATGACGTGGTCATACCTCAACCGTTCGGTCATTTCACTAGGGCAGATAGGCGACGACTCAATGGAATTGGGATCCAACACAGGGTCTCTGCTGTCAAAGAAAGGTGAAGAACGACACCAGGTTGGGAGACAACGGTTCACTGATCATTATGTGGGGAGGACCGGGACTTCTGGTCAACCATGCGTCTTCACTGCTGGAGACCTGATAACACCCGTCACGACCGGCAGCATGTTTATCAAGAAACCAGGGTCTGCCAGGTGACCGTAAACATGTGGAGCTGGATCAACCTCAACAGTGTGGGCGATTTGGTGGAGATAATGTTTGTCTTTTCCTTCTATTTCCTTATATATATATAGATAGATATATATATATATATATATATATATATATATATATATATATATATATTATATATATATATATAAATATATATATATATATATATATATATATATATATATATATATATATATATATATATATATATATATATATATAGAACATAAGAAAAGTGGGATACTGCAGGAGGCCGACTGGCCCATACAGGCAGATCCCTTTCACACCCATCCCAGCACTTCCATGTGCCTATCCAACTTCGCCTTAGAAGCTCCCTAGCGTCCCCGTCCTACTATAGCACTCAGCCTATTCACATATCCACTCTATTACCAAACCAGTGCTTGCCTATATCCTTTCTGAATCGGAATTTATCTAATTTAAAGCCATTTGTTCTAGTTATTTCGTTATTACTGAGCTTCAGAACATCTTCCATTTTACCCTTGTTAATCCCACTTACCCACTTGTACACCTCTATCATATCTCCCCTAACTCTACGCCTCTCTAATGAATGCAAGCCTAAGCTTTTCAGTCTTTCTTCATATGGAAGGTTTCTAATATTATGGATTATTTTTGTCATTCTTCTTTGTACTCTCTCCAAAGAATCTATGTCCATTCTATAATAAGGACACCAGAATTGAACCGCATAATCCATGTGTGGCCTCACTAATGCTAGGTCCATGTGTGGCCTCACTAATGCTAGGTAAAGTTTCAGATAACGTCAGCAGTTCTGTTACTCACACTCTTAGATATGAACCCAAGAATCCTGTTTGCCTTGTTGCGAACGCTAATACATTGTTTTCTAGGTTTCAAGTCGTTGCTAACAAATACACCTAGCTCTTTTTCACAATCTGAGTTTTCTATTTCCGTGTTACCTAGTTTATACTTAACGTTTGTATTCGTCTTCCCTATCTGTAGTACCTTGCATTTATCAGTATTAAAATTCATTTGCCAGTCTACTGACCACTCATGTAAGGTATCTAGATCTCTTGAAAGGTGTTCAAAGTCACTGTCTGAATTTATCACTCTCCCCATTTTGGTATCATCTGCAAATTTACTAATCCATTTATGCTGACTCTTTGTTTCCTACCAGTTAACCATGACCTAATCCATTTTAATAATGATCCACCTATTACATGTGCTTCTACCTTCCTTATCAATCTCTCATGAGGGACTCTATCGAATGCTTTACTGAAATCTAAATAAATTATATCATATGACTTATTATCTACCGCTTCATA